GGATGCAAGTTTCCTTAAGAATGCAAAAGATTATATGTCATTTCATAATTTTTGGCCAACTTCAAAAAGTCATAACTTGCTCAATTTTTGGATATTTTGAGTGATTCAAATTGAAAAATTTCATTCAAGAGATCTACTTCATTCTATCTTTTTTGGTCAAGAGCAAATTCTAAATGGAAGGCCATGTTTGGATACAAAATATTATAGGTTATTTTTAAAGAAGAATTTGAAATATTTTTAAGTATGGAAAGTCAACTCTTTTTCTTCAACTTTGACTCCATGTAACTTTCAGCTCAAGCATCCATTTGATTCCATTCTTTTTCCATTGCAAAGCTTGTAACCTCATATTTTCAAAGCATCAAGAATTATGCCATAAGACCCCTTGAGTTGGAAATATCATGGATTTGAATTTGGTAGTTTGAGACTGAATTTTTCACAAAGTCAGGATTTTGAAATCTTTGTTTTGGCTTCTAATCACAAGTTTTCCACGCTTTTTTGTTTCTAATCATGATTAGCAACTTTCCAAAAGTGATTAGCATCATGAAACGCATGTTTTGGCTGAGTTTTGATCAAGTTTGAGTCACACTTTCTTCATGATGCAGACCCACACGAATTTCCTCTAAAACGCATCATTCACTCTTCCTTTTGATCCCTTTTGCTTTCCTATAAATAGAGGGTCATCCCCCATCCATTTTCCCAAGCTTAGATAGCCAGAATCACCCTGCCAAACTTGTTTCACAACCCAGAATTCAACAACTTCAAAATCCATTCTCAAGCCTTTTTCCCTCAATTCACCTTCCTTGATCTTTCCTGAAGCTAACTATATAATTACATTCAAGAATCGTGCCCTATACTGTTCCATAGAAGTCCAATTTCAGAGCTCTGCAACTCAACTTCAATAGGTAGATTCCTTCATCAATTCTTCAAAACTCTGATATCATTGTGTTGCTCTCATTGCCCTGGTTCTAGTTGCAACACTTACATTTCACTGGAAATACGTTTTGACCATGAATTTTCAAATCCCTTTTCAAAATTTTCCTTCCAAATTGCTTGAGCTACAATTTATATAAATTTGGCGCGAGGGTGTGGTTGTTTTCGTCTTAAAGAGACGAAGCGATTGGCATAGGTCTGAGCTTCTGATTTTACACTTTGAGAGACCTGTAAATCACGTTGGTTGGAGGTTGAAGATGACCTACGTGTCATCTTCCAACCAAAGATGGCACGCCGCTTGTTATTTTCAAAAATCTGATTTATATTTGATTTTGTACATTATTCACTAATGACCATGATATGCACAGCGCGCCAGATCTCTTGGATTTGATTACTAACGCGTTTTGACTCTCATCCAATGGTCCACATATCTTACTTTTATTTTCTTTTTTTTATTTTTATATTTTAATTGTTTTAAATTTCAAAAAAATCATAGAAAATTCATTTTTCGTCCAAAAAATCTGAAAAAGTTATGAAAAATATTTTTGATTATTCTCTTTCTGATTTTTATTTTTTCACAATTTAATTTTGTGTTTTGGTATTTTTTATAAATTTTACACTTATTTGATTTGTTTAAAATGTTTAAAAATACTTTTATACATTTTTAAATTCTGAAAAAATTATGGAATGATCCAATGATATTGTGACAAATATTGGTGACCTTATTTTTTTTCTTCTGACTTTACTATTTTTTTAATATTTTTGTTTATTTTACCCATTTATTTTAATTTTAAAAATAGTTTCTGACTTTTAAAAATTACCAAAAATTTTATAAAAATATTTGGACCCATTTCTGATTTTTCTATGACCTTATTTTTTATTTCTTGATTAAGTTTAACATAATTGATATTTTCCTCATTATTTTCCATTTTTTAAACATTTTTAAACCTTTTAATTTATATATTAATTATGATATTATTTTGTGATTATTTTCTGGCTATCTTGAGTTGATTTTTTGATCATGACTTTATTAACATCATTGGATCTTAGGTGTTGAGTTCAACTCCACCAAAATGGATGAATAATTTTAATAATAGTCTGATTAAATTTTTAATTCAAAAGTGGTTTATTCATCTTTTTACCCTAATCCTCTTCATCTCATCCCCTTCTCATTGCACTAAATGTTGTTGGAGCATGATCTCTATATCATGTCTCAAAACAAATGGTGCATAGATTGCTATTGATCGGCCTCAAAATAGGTGCGACTTCTATATAAGTCCACTTACGATTGCTTAACATAGCGCTAAATTTTGTCCCGATTCGAATAAATGTTCATTCGTGGCCCAAACTTATGATTGCAAGCCCAAGTATGTTAATTTGATCCAATAACCTTGAGATTCATTGTGTGAAGGCTTTGGTTCTACCAATCCTCTAATGGATCTGCAACACCTTTGATCAACGCGGATCACTTAAACATCGTTGATCATTATATGGTACTTATGAGAATTCCAAATGGATGATATACTTGACAAAAAGCAAATGCAACTTGTTGTGTGGAGGTTTTGCTTCTACCAATCTTCTAATGAGTTTCAAATGCAAGTTTCAAGATGGTCATCAAACTAACCACTAATTATTGACTTGTTTATATTATGCTTTTATTCTTTTTTATGCTTTATGTACTATTTATTTTTAGCATTTTCATTTCATGCCATTTTCATCTTTGCTCATTTGAGAATTTATTTTCTTGTCATTTTTACTTTGCTCACTTGAGCTTTTCTTTTCTTTTCTTAAGATACTTAATAATCAACATAAACCCTAAAAAACTCTTAATGGTACTTGAATTATTTGGTTACTATCCTTGGCATTATGGAGCAGAGGACTATTTCTTGGACTTAGGATTAGAAACCTTGGCCTATCTTGGAGACTTTGTGATCTTATCTAATTATTTTGTCTAGAGTTCTTGAGGTTTACCTCAAGACATTGGGTTGCTTGTTTTTTTTTTTGTGCAGGTTTTTATGATTAAATTCTTTGTTTGTAATCTGGAATTCACCCGTATACAGCCGTTACTCTGTCTAATTTTTGTGAAAACTTAATACACTTGAAGAGGTCTAGTATCTTTACTTGCTTGGTTTCAATCTAAAGAATGGGAATTCTATCTTGGCTCATAATGTCAAGATTTGGCTTCTTGTTGGTTAGATGCATCTTATCCTTAGCTTTTACCTTATGCTTTAGGATAGCCTCTTCTTCTCCTCTCATCTTCTTAAATTTCAAAAATCTTCTCCCTCCTTTTTAAAATCTTCTTGTTTTGAAACTTAAACAACTTTCATAATAAACTTGGACTTAGGTCCATGCATTTTCAAAATCTTTTCATAAATAAACCCCATTCAATTTAATAATACTTTGACATTTTTGTGAGAAGACTAAAAGTCAATCAATCTCATTTCAAACCATTTTGCCACTTTGGTTTTTATCTTTAAACTTTTCTCAAAAGGTTAGACTCTTGCCAATCCTTGTAGTGATGCAAACAACTATACTTCTACAATATATAGTGAAGTGAGATATTTTCCACTTAGGTGTTGAGTGAGGCATTGTTGATTTTAAAATCCAAGCCATATCCTCTACTTTGAGATGATACAAATTCTCCTTTCTCATGATTGTGGGTAGTAAGTATGTTTTCCACACGGACAATGACGATGATGTCTTATCTCTTAAAATCAACCAACACACTTGTGTTTCAATTTTTTTTTTAAAAAGACGAACTACATGTACCCTGATCCCCTATTGCACGAAAGGTGGTACGTAGACACTAAAGGTTCGCAACCGCGGCGGGTGTAAAAATCATAAAAATATATTTCTTTTCCCACCTCCACCATTCATTTTATATACAACACTTTTTTTATATAGCCAAAAATACAGATTTTACAAAGAGGTTCCTGCGGAGTACCGTAGATGTTTAGGGTGCTAATACCTTCCTTTGGCATAACCAACCCCCTTACCTTGAATCTTTCCCTTTTTTTGGGTTATTCGCTCTTTTCCCATTCCTTTAGAAACAATAAAGCGCGGCGGCGATTTTTATTTTTGATTTGTGTAAGTCTAGTCAATCCAATGGCTTAATCTTGAACATTTCTACCACTATACTACCCTAGGTTTCAATTCTCAGAAAATATTTTGGCCAACCTGAAACAGTTGACCCATGTCAAGGCTAAGGGGCAGGTTGTGGGCCTGACACTTCATTTGAGCGCCAATATTCCGATTGATCTCAATTCAGTATCATTGTGACTACAAGATATTGTCTGCTTTGTGTGTTAAAATCCTCACAATTTTGTCCTTTAGAAAGATATCTCATTAAATTAAAGTGCATGAGTGTCATATATAAATTACTCTTAACTTCCATTCTCACACAATTTTGGACTATTTTTATCTGATTTGATATATAAATTACATTTTAGTGTATTCTTTTGATACATTTATTTTGTCTGTAAAAATTGAAACAGAAAACACCGAAAGTAAACAACACTAATTAGCTATATAGGTATTTTTTGTTTGAGCTAGGATTTGAGCATATAGTTTCAAGTGATGACAATGAAGGAATCATTTGAATCATGTACAATATATAAATAAAGAAGAATTGTGATGTGAAAAGGACCAAAGATCATGCGTGGATATATATATTATATATATAATATGAATAAAGATTATTGGACTATATGCATTGTACAAACAAGGTACAGTACTTTAAAATTACGGCGCGGCACATGCTTATGAGTCATGACATAAGGAAACTCTCATTTTATCATGCACTTTTTTAATTATGCAAAACTATTTAGAAGAAAACAATACTATAAGTAGGGGCACTAGTTTCTTAACATCATATTCATGCCAACATCGTAAAGAGTAGAGGAGAAAAACTAAGTGTAAAAGTGGATCCAAGAAGGCATGGAAAGTTGCCACTATCTTCACAAACATCAGAGACTAAAGAGAAAGAGGAGTATCCATTAGTAGATACTAATGAGTTTGATGCTATTTATGCATCTAATTCTAATTGGTGTTCAAACACTGATTTCTCTACTATGGTTTCTGGTCTCTCTCAAGTCAATGGAAGTTCTAATAACAATAATCCACACATGGCACAACCAACTTCAAGTACTATTATCAATAAAGAATCTCAACCTCATGTAGATCAAGGTTTGTTTCTTGTCTCAATCTTAATTCATATACTTGTTCATTTCAAACAAGTTTTTTTTTGTCTTACTATAAATCAAAATATGATGATCTTATGCAGCCATAACCATTGATCTACATGATCATATAGTAATAATTAATATAGGGTAAACTATATTATTTGTTGCAAATATATTTAAATTATGATATATCTTTCATCTATTTTATTTGGGAAAAGTAAAGCCTTCTCTCTTGAAAATATTATTCCTTTAGAGTTCAAATTACTTAGAAAAGAGATCATAAGGAGTATTTTCCTTTAGACTTTTATGTGTGTTTATAAATCAAAATATAACATTATTTGATAATTAAAATATTTAGACATCTTTTTGAAAAGACCTTTGAATAGAAAGTATTAATTCTTTTAGGATTAGGTTTTAGAGACTCTTCTCCATCTTCAAAAGAATGATGGCTACGTGGATTAGATTGATCGCTGACAAGATAAGAGGATTTTTTGGAATTTTGGTGGGAGGAGACCGATCTTCACTCATGAAGAATCTATGGTAGATGATATTTTCTCGGTCTTATGGAAGTTTCAGTTTAGTGAGGAAAATAGTAGGTGGATTTGGAGACATAATAAAGATGATTTGTTCTCAGTGGCGACTGTCTATAAAATTCTGATTAGTATTTGCCATTTTCCAAAATATTATTTATATAGACAGAATTTGAAGTCTTTCCGTTATTTGGAATAATTTTTTAAAGTGGTGGTCTTTTCTTGGCAACTTCTACAAGATAAATTTTTTAGAAAATGGGTTTAAATTAGCCTCTCATTTGTTCATTACCTGCAACCTGGCTTCTACTGTTTGATATAAGATATTTAGTTGGTTAGGGATTCAGTTGCCCCTTTATAAGGAGATGAGATTTCTTTTTGCATTTTTTTCTTTCTTTAGGTAGTAGGGATAAATCTAGGAGAGATTTTTTGTAACGGCATAAACTATATGTTTGAGGTGTAATACTAAGTTATTTTTTTCCTCGTCAACAAACGTGAAAGAAATTGAGAATAAGAGTATTTTTTTGTTTGGACTTAATTTATTAACAAGTCAACATTTAACTCATCTTACTTCTTCGATTAACTTCAGAATTTTATAATGTATCTTAATCAATAGCGAATCAAAAGTTCTAACTTATTTAGAATGATCAATGGTCTTCGGTTTAGCTAGTGTTTTATGATATATTGATGGTGAATAATAAAAGACTAAATGGAGTATAACTTTTTTCACTAAAGTTTGTTAAAAATATTTCATATCATTTTTTCCTTGTTTTTCTTGTTTTGTATGTGAATGTAGTTGAAGAAGTAAAAAAGAAACCTCACTTTAGAGGAGTGCGACAAAGACCATGGGGAAAATGGGCAGCAGAAATACGTGACCCAATAAAAGCAGCTAGAGTTTGGCTAGGAACATTTGATACAGCTGAAGATGCAGCTCTTGCATATGACAAAGCAGCACTCAAATTCAAAGGCACAAAAGCTAAACTCAATTTCCCCGAAAGAGTTGTTCAATGCAGCAACAACAATAATTCTAGTAGTGCAATTCAGCAAAGTGGTTATTCTGTTGATAATCAACAAGTTTTTCCAAATTTGTTTCAATATGCTCAGATTCTCTCTAGTGATGCCGAGTTTCCTTATTATGCATCTCATCTTTTCAATCAAGATCAACAACATGGAGATGATGTTCATCGTCCACCTGGCCAGTAGAATCTATGCAGTATCGGTGGTTGTTCGATCTAGATCAATGGTTTATGTCAATTTTGGCCTAGAAACTTGAGTTATGGATTTATGTCTTGTAAAAGAGGTTATTGAATCTCCAAAATAGTTTCAAATTTAAACTTATAAGTGTTTTGTTTTGATCATTCAGGTCTCTACTTGATGTGAGAGTATATTTTACACACAAGTGTGTGTATTGCAATTGTTATATTTTTCACCTTGTCAAACGTGCATTAAGGTTAAAGTGGGACCACTTTCTATTGATAGTTATGTATGAGAAACAACTCTAACTTGTTTGAATTTACTTTTGTAACTCAAAATAAATTTATATTCTTAATATATGATATTAAGGTATTTGGGTGGAGTCTAACTCAATATTATAAAAATTATACCTTCACATTTCGTATAATTAGGATAGTGTGTGGATATTAACTTTACATGGTCTATGTTGTGATTGATTCTGATATTGTTAGGAACTAAAAACATGTAAGTGAAAGTATAAGAAAATTGTTAGGAAGAATTTTTTTTTATATGTTGAAAGAAACAATTTGGCTTATATATAGCCTTATATAGATGAGAAATTGAAATAAAAACTACCCATACTTTCAATCCACTGCTAGTATTTCCTAATAATATAGTAGACTAACTTAAAGGAAATAACTACGCTTCAAAAATAGGAAAATCATAAACTGGCTAACAAATCATCCCTTAAACTGAATTATGCAAACAATTTATATCACTCTCTGAACAAACTCCTAGAGATCTGAGTAGCTTCAGGAAAACATCCATCTTGAGTGGTTTCGTCATAATATCTTCCAATTGTTCTTGTTTGTTACAGTGTATCAGCTTAACAGTTTCAGCCTTTGTCAGATCTCGAAGGAAATGAAAATGAACATCAATATGCTTACAACGACCATGCATTATGGGATTCTTCGAAAGCTTAATAGCATAACTACTATCACAATGAATCACAGTGGCTTTGCTTTGATTTTTACACGGTTTTCCCATCACTCTTTACAGTCATATGGATTGACATGCACATGAAGCTTCACCTATAAACTTTGCTTCAGTGGTTGATAGAATCATAATTTGTTGTTTCCTCGGTGACCAAGATACAACACCTGAACTCAACAAGAAAATATAATCTGAAGTACTCTTCCTATCATCCAACTCCCCTGCATAGCCATTGTCAGTGTAAGCGACAAGCTCAATGTTTTCTTCCTTCCTGTACAAGATTCTAAACTCTTAAATATCCCAGCACCCTTTTGACCACTTGTAAATGCAGTTCAACAGGATTCTCCTACCTGCTAATTAGATTCACCATAAACACCATATTTTTAACAAAATATCGGTCTATAGTAGGTCTTATCAACCTTCACACCAGACTCATCTTTTGTGAGTTTAACACCAGTAACAATTGGATTGTGCATTGAATTTCTTCTATCCAGTCTAAACCTTTGCAACATCTCTAATGCATACTTATTTTGCCATAGGAAAATGTCATTTGATCGTTGCATCACTTTAAGACAAAGAAAGTATATCATTTTACCAAGATCTATCATGTCAAATTCATGTTTCATGGAGCTTTTAAATTTTGGAAATATCAGCTCTTCGTTTCTGGTAAATATGAGATCATCAACATACAAACTAATAATTAATAATTTACCTTCTTTTTCCGTCTTTGTAACACCATTTTTCCCGTCGGTAAAATTTAAACAAAAATCAGAGTAAATTAATTTCTAAAATACAACATCCAAATAGGATATCACATGCTTCATACATCATACATGCTCATTAATTAAGATGAGGGTTTTGCCCTATTGGTACCACATGCATAGAGTCAGTATCATGCTCATTGCATTACACTATTATTAGTAATTGATGGTTTGATTATTAAACAAATTTCTAATTCTTTTATGATGGATGTTTGTGTTGTTTGTTGCATATAATTATATTGATGTGTTTCACAGTATGATAAACGATAAAAAGGTGTGAGATAAAGAGGTGTAAATGATGTGTACTTGAATTGCTATCTGCTCATTATTGTGCTTCATCTTATATTGTTATGATATCTCACCCTTTATGTTTGAATGTTGCCTCTATGTGGGTAACATGCAGATGATCCGAAGTAGCTCGAGGTCGAGGCCAGCTGAAGAGTTCTTTCAATTTTGCGTAGATTGTGTCGGTGTATGCTCTGATACGTAACACTTAGGGGTTTCACATTTGTTTTATTTCGTTGGGAGTTAACTTTGCACTACTCTATTGTTTGAGTTTAATTTATGACTATGCTGAATTTCGAAGGATGATAATTATCACTCCGATTGGAGAATTGAGATAATTTTTATTGATGTTTTTCTGCTGCGAATAAATGAAAGGAAGTTTAAGACTTTTTGAACATATGAGTTGTGTTGTGTATCTTAATTAAGGAGCATGTCTGATGTATGAAGTATGTGACATCCTATTTTGATGTTGTATTTTATAAATTAATTTACTCTGCCAAAACATGACGTGGGAGTTGGAATGAAGGATGCGGGAGTTGAGTACAGAGTGATAGTATCGTGTGAATTTTCGAGGACGGAAATATTCTAAGTGGAAGAGAGTTGTAACACTCCGATTTAATTAGAATTGTTTTTAATTAAATAATTAGAGGATGCGGTGTATTCTTATAAATTAGTCGGAGTTATTCTATTTAATAATTGAATGACGTGATGTATTTATATGAGTTGATGAATTTATATGATGTGTTTATATGTGTTTTAATGGAATTATTAGAAGATTAGAAGTAGTGAGAATTGTAGAAGTAAAAGTGTGGAGTCATGGGGTGAATGGAGAATATTAGTATCATTGTTGTTATTATTATTATTATTATTATTATTATTATTATTATTATTATTATTATTATTATTATTACTATTGCTATTATATGAGATAAATAGTAACTATAATATTAATAATTAAATAATTAAATTAATTTAGTAATAGGAAGAGGGGTATGATGGGGATATCTATATTAGGGGTCTAAAAGTGCAAAGAGGTTTTGGTTATTCTGATTCATCGTAGAAAACAAAAGAGAAGCGTAGAAGTGAGAAGAGGAGAAGGACACTAGGAAGCTAGGGCAACAAGATTCGTCGTTGGAATCAAGAAGCGACCAAAAATCTAAGGTAAGGGGGGATTCTAACACTATAATGAGTTGCCTAATGATGGGGTATGGTAGAATTTAGGTTTCCTTGTTGTATGTTTGAATTTTCTCTCTAATTGGTGTTTTTGGGGTTTTCTCCCATTGAAGAATTTCGATGCATTTTGGATGATTGATTGTGAATTTGTTGATGTGTTTTAGTTAAAAACGATAGACATGTGTTGGTAAATAATTAGCATGTTTTTGAAACATTATTTTGGTGGGAAAATTGAGAGTTTAGGCTTTGAAGCATGAAAATTTCGTATTTGAAAAGTTGCAGATTTTTTATTGTCATCGCAGGGTAACGGGTTACCGAGTTATGGTAACTAGTTACCATATGAAAATTTGGAAAACAGAGGCTATTGTAATATGCAATAATCAGTTACCGTAAGTGGGTAAGTGGTTACCTCGAGAAAATTTGAAAATACAGAGTTACTGACTTTACAGTAACCGGTTACCACCAGAGGGTAACCGGTTACCACTGTATTGAAAAGAATTTTGGAAAAATTGAAATCTCCAAAACTTTTGTCTCGGATAGTCATTTGACGCGCCGTTTGGACCGTTGAAAAGAAAAAATCATTTTCTATTTTCTAAAAATAAATTATAACTCAGTGGCTAATTATTTCACTGACATTGATACTAATCTGTGTGTATTCCTGAGTAATATGCCATAAACTATGTTGTGAATGATTAACTTGATGTTGTACGAATATTTTAATTGTGTGACATGATATGAGTGATGATGATGATGATGGCATGTATTGGCGTAGTATTGATACGTACAAGTAATCAATGTAAAATTGTGTTATTGCATATCAGTGTCGCATGCATTCATTAAAGATGACATGTATTGGCGAAAGATGGCATGTATTGGCGAAAGAAGGCCTTTATTAGCGAAAGATGGTATGTATTGGCGTTGCTACCCAAGTTGGCATTATTAAGATGAGGCTTTTGCCCTATTGGTACCACATGCATAGAGTTAGTATCATCCCCATCGCATTACAATGTTATTAGTAATTGATGGTTTGATTATTAAACGAATTTCTAATTCCGTTATGATGGATGTTTATGTTGTTTGTTGCACATAATTATATTGATGTGTTTCGCAGTATGATGAACGATAAAAAGGTGTGAGATAAAGAGGTTTAAATGATATGTAATTGAATTTTTATCTCCTCATTATTTTGCTCCCTCTTATATTGTTATGACATCTCACCCATTCTATTTGAATGTTTTCTCTACGTGGGTAACATGCAGATGATCTGAAGTAGCTCATGGTCGAGGTCAGCTGAAGAGTTCCTTTAGTTTTGTGTAGATTGTGTTGGTGTCTTATCTAATACGTAACACTTTGGGGTTCACATTTATTTTATTTCATTGGGAGTGAACTTTGTACTACTCTATTGTTTGACTTTAATTTATGACTATGTTGGATTTTGAAGGATGATAATTATGACTCTGGTTGGAGAATTTAGATGATTTTTATTGATGTTTTTCTGCTGCGAATAAATGAAAGAAAGTTTAAGACTTTTTGAATATATGAGTTGTGTTGCGTATCTTAATTAAGGAGCATGTATGATGTATGAAGCATGTGACATCCTATTTTGATGTTGTATTTTAGAAATTAATTTACTCTGATTTTTATATAGTTTATCAACGAGGAAATAGGGTGTTACAATTTACTTTATGATGCCAAAACGTGACATGGGATGTGGAATGAAGGATGCGGGAGTTGAGTACAGAGTGATAGTATCGGGTGAACTTTCGAGGACGAAAATATTATAAGTGGGAGAGAGTTGTAACATTCCCGGTTTAATTA